ATGCCTGCGTTCTGGTCCAGTGCAATCTGAAAAAATGCTGCATGCACTATTTTTTTCAGGTCGCACTGGACCGGAACGCAAGCACTGATGTGCCATGTGTTCTGGTGCGGGCAGGGGGAGTGGCTGCTTGTGCCATGGAACGCAGGAAACAGGCTAGGATACAATACAGTGTGTTCCAGCAGCTAACCGTGCTGGAACGCATTGTATATGGTGTGAACAAGCCCTAAGGTCACTGCAAAGGACAAGGGGGTGCTCTCTGCGTCTGGAGGAAAAGCGGCTTAAACTTTGCATAAGGAGAGGCTTCTTCACAGTAAGAGCTGTGAAAATGTGGAATTGACTACCTCAGGAACAACTATAGTTCTAGCTAGCTCAGTTATTGGTTTAAAAAAAAGCTGCATGCATTCCTAAAAGAGCAGAATATAACTAGATATCAACATTTACAAGTAGAAAACGCCAGAGATTGATGATCCAGGGAATATCTGATTGCCTTATGGGTTCAGGAAGCATTTTTTCCCATGCTGGGAAATGAAACCATGCTTTATAGGGTTTTTATGCCTTCCTCTGAATTAACTGTGGGTAACTGGGTAACTGGGTAACTGGGCTCTGTTTGTGGAGGTCTTTCTATATAGGCTGAACTCGATGGACTTTTTTTCAATCTAATTATGCAACTATATGCTTTTGTAAAATATAGACATCAATCGCATTACCATCATCCATGTTAAAGTATACCTCATAAAAACTGATCGTGTTAGTTAGATATGGCCAGGGCCGTCTTTAACGTAGGGCAAAGAGGGCACTTGCCCCGGGCCCAATCAAGGTTGTGGGGCCCAGAGCATCTGCCCCTTGAGCCCGCTGCCCGCAGAAAATTGCCGATCGTATTGCATAGAATAATACGTTATGGCAGCGGCCGCATACGGCAATACCATAACGTATTGTCCTATGCGATCTGCACGATCGCATCCTAAAGTTAGTTAGTTAGTGAATAACATGATGGGGATAAAAGGAATGACAGAATGGAATGCCCATAGACTTTGACAGGTGAAGAGAATGCCCATAGACTATAATGAAGCCAAACGGAATGTCCATAGGAAACAGGAAAAATCCAAAGTTATTTCAATTGTAAAATATGTTACTATGCACGGGGAAGATCTGTGGTAAAGGATACGTTGATATCTTTTTCAGATTTGCCTACAAAATATCTGATACAATGCTTCCCATTATACTCTATGGGCTTCATTATAGTCTATGGGCATTCTCTTCACCTGTCAAAGTCTATGGGCATTCCATTCTGTCATTCCTTTTAGTAGGCCCCTAACATGATTGATAGAATTACAATGCATGATAGTATAAAGCCATGATTAGACATAATTAACATGGTTTTTTTTCTTGGTGGGGGGCCCCGGGGGGGCCCAAGAAAGTGTTTGCCCAGGGTCCGATCAATATTAAAGACGGGCCTGGATATGGCCCAAGATTCTTTAGAGAGAGTAAAGGTGATCTCATTCTTAGCTCATTCTTTCTTATTAGTTTATTTTCCACTTTATATTTTGGTATATCCTGTCTTTAAATGCCTTAAAATTATTCAAACACAAAAGAAGTCAGGTCACCTCTGTTTACCTCTTTACAAAGCAAAGGTTAACAGTAAGTGCTTATTAGGGGTTAATGCTGAACTCCAGCCTTACTTTTAGTCTTCCACAGTTGTACAGGTTCCTCTTCTCTACTAAAAAGGCTTACTTTGATTTCACTGCACACTGTGAGCTTCTTACACTGTACATTAGAAGTCAGAGCCCACCTCATTTTCTGGCTGGAGGATGTCCAGCAACATATAATTGCTGTCATTGCATGGAGACCCAGTGATGAGATCACCGGATCTAAAAACGGGTAAGAAAATAAAAACAGAAAAGTTTATACATTTGATTAGCATTAAGGGGGAAGGAACCAGTAAAGGCAAAATATATCGTATTTGCCGGCGTATAAGACAAGTTTTTAGACTTAAAAAAATCCAACGAAAACTGGAGGTCGTCTTATACGCCGGGTATGGATGTGCGGTAATACTGTATGTACGGTAGCTTCAGCTACATACAGTATACCGCACTGAGCCAATCACGGCAGGCTTTGTATTCATTAATACAAAACGATGAGCCAATCACAGCAGGCTTTGTATTCATTAATACAAAGCCTGCCGTGATTGGCTCAGTGCGGTATACTGTATGTAGCTGAAGCTACCGTACATACAGTATTACCGCACACCCTGGCGGTCTGATGATTTTATTTAAATGTTTTAGTTTTTTGTTCTATTTTTTTTTTTTTACTTTTAAAATTGCCGCCGGTTCCACCCCCCTGTGAAGCGGATGCTCGCAAGGGACGGAACCCGGAAGACGGGGGACACAGCGGGGATCGTGGACAAGGTAAGAGACTGTAATCCCGAGTGTGGCTCGGGGTTACCGCTTATGGTACTGAAAATTAACCCCGAGCCACACTCGCGAATACTGCCATGGAGGTTAGGCGGTGCATTTAAACATTATTTTGGGCTATACGAGTCTTATACGACGAGTATAGCCCAAAACCTATGTTTTAACAGAAAAAGTAGGGGGTCGTCTTATACGCCGAGTCGTCTTACATGCCGGCAAATACGGTAAGCAGAATAAAGTTTAGCATTAAGGTTTTCTGATAGGCTGTAGGTTAAGAGCTAAGGGTTTAAGAGCCTTAAGCTTTAAGAGTGGGTTTAAGTTTTAGGTTTGTGTGAATGTATGGTGATAGAATTATGATAAAGTTTACATAAAACAAACACTTTTTTTCATTTTGGACAAAGCATAGAATGGTTAAAACCCATTTTTTTGCCATCTGTGTCCAGTTGGAGACATTTTCCTTCACAATCTTTCCTGTAAATACAACGGAAAGTTAGAGGAAATTTCTTCAAAGTAAGAGAATTTCCCCATTAGACAGATGTCATGAAAACAAGGAGTTCCATTAGAACATTTCCCTTTCATTGCTGTGCTGGTAACAACTCATATTCCCTCACTTTCAGCCCCACTGACAGTGGCCATGAAGACAAACTAGATGGGTATTCCTAGCAGGGACACAGACAGGTTCCAATCCTGCCCTACTCTATCCAAAGTTATATAAAAAGGTTTTGGGTACAGGTCAGATGTAGAGGATTCTTTAAAAACACTATCTCATTTTCTGTTCTTCTCCTTGCTAACCCAACTGTTTAGTGACTGGAGGGGACAAAAGTAGGTCCTATTTGATAACCGTTGCTACTTGGGGCTGAAATAATTGTTTTAGCACGGAAAAGTACTACTGATCTTAAGTCAGCTGAATTCTGCACTTAAATAACCTAATAAACAATTTTGTTATATGCATGTTGTTTCCAAGAGAGCACCAGTTTGCTCCTATTTATCTTATCTCCCCATCTTGTCTCCTCAGTGTGGTTTGTCAGCACTTGCTACCAGTTATGGGACCCCCACTGAGAGCGTGCCAAAACAACATTTCCTCTGCATGAATCACCAAACTGGGGACAGTGCCAGGATGCTTCCAGGGACTGTGACACACTTCCACTCAGCTAAGTGAGGAGAATCCTGTCCAAAGCTGGCCATAAACTGTTAAAATGTCATTCTCAAACTCATTAGAAATTATTAGTCAGAGCATTTGATCTTGCCGTCATTGCGGTAACTAATTTTGTTCAAAAGCCCTTTTGTCCAGACCTGCTACTAGAATGGAATCTCCGATTTATCAAACAGGTTTTTTTTTCATTACAATATGTACAAAAAATTTCCATCCTGCTCCTTCAATTTCCTCATCACTACGAATGTCAATTGGACCTCACTAACCATTTCAAAATTAAAAGGACCATTCTGAAAATGAAAATGTTTGAGTGTGAATCTACTGGTGTATGTAAGCAGAGGTTGTGGAGATACCCACATGCTGTATAATCTACTGGTGTATGTAAGCAGAGGTTGTGGAGATACCCACATGCTGTATAATCTACTGGTGTATGTAAGCAGAGGTTGTGGAGATACTCACATGCTGTATAATCTACTGGTGTATGGCTAGCTTAAGTTTACCTAATTCATAGTATCATCTTGGTAAGTTATGTGTGAAGTCTGGATGATGTGTTGCACATAAAAGGTAGATGGGCAGATCTGTGGAACTAGTGTTCATCAACTACAATGCATAACACATGTACAAAGAAATAATATGCAATAGAATACCCAAAGGTTGCCTCTGTGTTCACATTTTTTTAATTGGTGAAAGGCAAAGCTTCTGTAGCTAATGAGCCTTGTAAGTTCCGGGATAGCTATTTGTGATGAGCATTGTGAGGCTCAGGGTACAGTATGATGCCTACATGATGATGGAGCATCATACTGTGCTTTCCATATCACAGAACACAAAGGCAGCAACCTTGATTGTTTAAGTTTCAACCACCTCTAAGAGATTAATCTGGCTGACATGAAAATTCTTCACTGAAATCTGAAATCATTATGTGGGCCATGGCATCAACTTAACCTTTACTGCATTAACCACTTCAAGACCCGTTGTTTAGACCCCCTTCCTGGCCAGGCCATTTTTCAGTGTTCAGCGCTGCGGTACTTTAAGGACTTTTTTTTAAAAAATTGTTTTTTTATTCTTTTTTATGTGTAACTTTTTAAAAAAATGGGGGGGGGGGCTCACATTTTTTTTTCCTTCTTTTTTTTCACTAAACTTTATTGCTATCACATACGGGGCTAATAAAAACCCCCTATGTGATAGCAAAATATACAGTATCTATCTATGCACATATACTGAACACACAAAGATATAACTTCCGCATATCACGTTTTTACTCTAGAATAAAAGCTGAAGTATTTTATGATGAGTAAGTATGAACATTATTTTCATAAGTTTGATCTGCAATCAATGGGTTGGAAATGTAAAATGACCACCATTTTCCTAATGGGATAAAATGACCTTACCGTCCAAAAGACATAAAACATAAACCGTCATCATTTTGCTTTTAAATTTACCTGTACTGCGTCTTCTGTCACCGATAATCCATTCTGCTCCATTTTTAGTTCTGGTTCTGATGGAGCCTCTGGATAAAGGAACAAACAGAATGAAGCATGCAATATAAAGAAGACTGTAGATTACAACATATATTTGAATAAATACATATTTTACAAACCAACCTAAAGCAAACACTATGAACTGAAACGCACTCAGAAAATAAAGCCAACTTAGGTCCCTTCCACTTTCCTTTCAGGCCTGCCTGTCAGTTTTTAAGGTTGATCTGATCAGAAGCTAATATAACTCTGTGGGGAACCAGTTCTAAACGGACCTGCCACATGTTTTCTTTTATTGCTAGGTATTTTGTTCCCATTCAAATAATCTTTACAAATTCCCTATTGGTTTTGTAATCTCCAACAGTATGTTTTCCCAGTTTCCCAGGGTGCTTCTCAGTTGTTTAAACTTTACTTTCCAAATGTTCATCATTTTTGTAACCATCTTTGTCTAACAATTTATTGAATACCAGCTCAAATATTACCAGTATTCCCTTTTACCCAAATGTTCCCAGAACTGCACATTAAATAGCCGACTCGCCAACATCTTATTGCCAGTTGTTGTCTGAATATTAACAATCATTCATAATAAGGTGTACATTTCCGTTTGACGTCTTTTCAATTTATAGCGCCTTTTGAACTTCAGCCATTCAGTCATTTATGTGAGTGGGCTTGTAACAGACCCCAAAATACTACCTAAAAAGTCCAGGATTTGAGTATATATCCTTAACAGCTAAAATACTTTTTAAGGGCCTCATTTTGTTACGGTGTCCGTCCCTGCCCTACTGAACAATTTGATGATTCAATCCTTGATATGCTAAATTCAGATAATGGTCCACTTTCCCAGTCTTGGTGACAGATTGCCCTATCTGTCCTAATAATACACCAGCACCTGCCTTGCCTTCATTGTATTACTATTCTCACGGTGGCAGTCATTCCACAGCTGCCAGGGGACATACAGTATATGCTGCTGCAGCACCACCACCACCCCTGAAATAACATCCTGAAAGCAGGAAACATATTTTTTAAGCACCTTATAATTGCAAGATAAAGATATGCGTGCACACTTGTAAAACTTTGTGTCTTGTGGCTATTCCAGAAGGTATTCCAGCCGCTGAGCAGGCACAACTTAGAACCTGGAATTCTGTATGACCTTTTGGCTTCACCTCTGCTGGGTGTACTGCATGTCATTATGCTTCTATAACTGCATAAGGGGCAGGGACCATCATGGTACAGAACAGTCATGGATGGCAACATTCAGAAAAGCAGTGTGAGAGTTCTAATTCTATTACTGATATGTAGGATAAATTCACATAGTTCTGAACAGCGACACTTTTACATTATTTTGCAATGGTTGTGACAAATACATAAAGAAATACTGCCATTTCAAAGGTAAGGAAACCTTTGGTGGTAAATAAGACCAATGTCCTATTGGAGTAATATGTGTAGAGAGTGAGAAGTTTGTCCCTCCCACATTGGTGGCTGCAAGGACGCTGGTGGCCCTGAGACCACCGTCGATCTAGCAACCAACGACACTTGGCTGCACAGCATGGGTTGCTAGAAGGCCAGTGGCATCCTAGTTCCATCATTTTGGACTTGAGACATGATGAATGTTGAAACTCACAGTTTTCCCAGACAAGGACAAACAAAGTTATGGCCAATGCACCGTGCTGGCACTTTGGACATCTGACAGTCAAAGAAGTTAACAGAAAGTCCCCTATAGAGTCATAACTGCCATCTGAATTTGACCAATGATCAAGAGCAGTATCGATTATGTATCTTTTACTATAAATGCTTACGTACTAATCTTAATAAATCAGACAGACTAGAGACTAGCTATAACATACCCTTGGGGTCTGTGTGTGTTAAGATGGTCATACACTGCTTAGGTTTTCGAAAGACCTTTCGTACGAAAGAACGCTCTTCAAAGTTCTATTAGTTGATGGGGTCAAATCGACGTTCGATTTCAACCGTAGTACAGCAGTCAGCAATGACAACCTCTCCTTGTTAACACCATTAGAAGCCCTCATATATTGCATCTCAGGATGACTTTGATTATACAGATATTAGCCAAACCGTTTTAGTTTTTCGAACGTTTCAGAACTACATTGATACAGTTGATTAGCTCAGGGAAAGGTGAGAGGTTTGTGTCATGTTGTCTCTAAAACATGAAAAAAATATCTCCTTGCTTTGTGATAGAAGCCCCTTCACTGAATGCCTGGCACTGATGTCTGTCATCCATGTGAATTTATATGAATCTGTCAATGTACCGTATTTTGCGCTCCATAAGACACACTTTTTTCCCCCCAAATGGCGGGGGAAAATGTGTGTGCATCTTATGGAGCGAATCCCCAAGCGAATCGCCCCAATGCCTGGGACATGCAGTTTCGGGCTCCGGGCGAGTAGTTTTTTTGTACATTTAGCCCTGCTCCTGACAAGCAGAGCTAAATGTACAGTGGGAGCCGCTGCTCGTTTAATACAAGTGATCTAATCAGATCACTTGTATCAAATCGAGCGGTGGTGATCATGTCCGGGGCCCTCCCGCCATGGTTTTCGGGGTCCCACGCTCCTCTGGGGGACCCGTGACCACGGCATAGGAGCTCACCATAGAGCCCCTAGAGCAGACGAAGAACGTCCGTTCTTCGTCTGCTCTGTGTGATCACTGAGACCGTGGCGATGTAATCACAGCGCCACCTGTCTGAGCGGTCACTAACTACAGCTGTCAAAGAAGCCTACCCTCCCTGCGTCCTATGGTCAGGTGCGCCTTATGGAGTGCAAAATACGGGAATACATGCACGTAGTCTCAAATGTCAGTGTATGCAGTTGCAGGCACCTCCAGTATCGTGTGATGTTAATGTCTGTGGCTAGTGATGAATGATTCTGTTAATCTATGATCTGTTCCTGTTCTTGTTGTTGTACTCATGACTGTCCTTGGCTAGCTGTCTAATCAGATTCTGGTACTTGATATGCGCCTGTGTGATAATGAACTCTCTTCTATATTGTTACCTCAGCTGATTGCCAATGACAATTTTTAAAGAACCGACTCAACTCAAATGATGCTCTTGGACTTTGCAAATAGCAATGCGGGGCAGAGTATAGCTCCCTATCACAAGCCAGCAACTGGCCTATCTGTTAACTATGACTTTATTACAAACGTCCAGATTTGAGGCATTCTGTCTTCAATTTGCTGGGCAACATTGTCTCTGTATTTCTTTTCGGCAAATTCTCTGATGGCTTGCTTCACTGTGCCTGCATTTGGCTAGTTTCCTATCCTCGTTGCATTTCCAAGTATGATCTATGGTGGGTGCAAAACTGGGAGGCTGTAACTAGGAGGTACAGTGCCACGCAAACTTAACAAGAGTCAGTCTGTGCTTGAAGCTGTAGAGATTTGTTAACCTCCCTGGCGGTATGATTATGTCAGGAATGTTGTACCAAAAGCGGTACAATAGTTTGATACATAAGTGTAATCATAGCAGGTTACATTGTATTGTGTGTATTCTATGTACATTACAACTTTTCACTTTTGAATTTCCCGCCGGCTGTGACGCCCGAAAACGAAACTAAAAGTCAGATGCCGGCTTTTAGTTTCATTTTCGGGCCGCTTACAGCAGAGGACGCCGCGGGATCGCAGGGAAAGGTGAGTGTCACTTTTCTCTGCAGCCCCGAGTCTGGCTTGGGGTTACCGCTCCTAGCATTGAAAATTCAACCCGAGCCAGACTCGAGATTACCGCCAGGAAGGTTAAGGGGGAGGATGACTACTTTTTATTTGTTTTCTAGAATGTTTTTCTTTTCTTAATATCGCATAACCACAATTTTCCACAATCTGCTCCCATAGACAAAGGCTTAGGGGTCTATTTATAAACACTTGTAATATTCAGGGTGGATATGACCCATAGCCAGCCGTATCAGCAAATTTACTTTTATTCTTTTCAACAATCAAATAAAATGGCTGATTCAGCAGAATGACAAAATCAACAGGTGTTATTGTCAGCAAATACAAGATTCGGCTCAGCGCCTGTATACTAAGTCCCACCTCAGGGTTAGAGTCCCAGCCTGCTCACAGAGGGTTCCAGTATGGACACAGGTGCTCCAGCAGTGTCTCGGTGGACTGTATTCCACACCTAAACAAGGGAGGGATATATGGCCCATCCAGGACCCATTCCTGGCATCCTGTACACAGTTCACAGGGTCATTTGCCTGAAAATATGTGTGAATGTTTGCTCTGTGCGAATATATGGCAAAACGAACATTCTCTAGTTATTTTTTATTTACTAGTGGAACAAATGTTTTCATGTAATGTCACATTAGGGCCATAAGATGGAGGTAAAAGAGCATAGGAAAAAAGTATTTATTTTCTATGCTCCTTGGATTCCCACTGCTCTCTCTCGCCTGTATGGGCAGAGTGTCCTCAATCTCTTTTTCTATTTCAAAAGGGAAATATCAGGGGTCTGTATAGACCCCTGATATTTCCCCAAAGCCCCCCAACAGTAAAAAAAAAAAAAACAATAATAGGGATGCTCCAATACCGATACAAGCATCGGTATCGGCGGCGATACAGAGTATTTGCATGAGTACTCGTGCAAATACTCCATTACAAAAAACGAGTACCTGTGCCGCGTCCGCCATCTTCAAAGACCCGAAACCGCCGCACACAGGACCTCAATAGCGTCTTCAATGAAACAAGATGGCCGCGAACTCCTCCTCCAAGTCCTCAGTCATCTGCTCCATTCTGACCTCTTCTCCCGCTGATTGGCCGATTGGATGATGACAGGCTTCCTCACCAGTCAGGAGTGACTGGTGAGGAAGCCTGTCATCATACCCTTTATCTCATAATTACTTGTCAACCAGATCCGTAACCAAAATGAACCCTCTATACCAAAAAGATAAACCAGCTAACAAGAGTGGCTGGTTTAAAAAGGGTTAACAGAGGATCGGGACAAGTATTCCAATTACAAAAAGAGTTTATTAGATAAAATATCAGTTTTGGACATAAACATCTTATCACTATCTGTTTTAAAAAAAAAAAAAAGCATGACTTACAATTATAAATCTTCAGGTATGCAGATCTGTTTGTATAATGTGCTCTCATTCATATATGCTAATCAGCTGAAACCATGTGGGAAAGAAACTGATTTTTTAAGAAGGAGGTACTATGTAACTTCCTTGTTTCTCCCACTGGAGATTAATACGTGTATTTCAGATACCAGCGGACACCAAAGGATAATAATAAAGCCAGGTATGCAGAATTGGATATAGCTGTGCCACACTATACAGTGTTCTGGTCTGGAGTCTGGACATGTATGTGCTCATCTATTTTCCCCACTATGGGGATACAAGCCTTAATTAGCAATGGCATGATAAATATTAATTTCATGTTCATGTTCTTCATAATATTAAGAAACTGACCTAAAATCATGATTTTGTATTGCTTTAGAAAAAATGTGACCTGTCCCTTTAAGAAAAAGACATAGACACATAGAACTTACTGTAGACGCTCAGCTGTACTCTGCTTTCTTTTGTTACACCGTTCTTGAACTCCACACGGCATAGGAACTGCTTGTTATCTTCAACTAGTATGTTGTCAATCACCAATTTGGAATTGTTTTTTACACTAAAATGGCTTTTCAGTCCAGGTTCTTCTATGATTCCATTTGGTCCAGCAGTCAAAATTTTTTGTACATTTTCTGCACTGTTTTCAGAAGATACCTATTTGGAATCAAAATATGAATACAGGATAGTCAACAGAAACCAACTTGTGTTTTGGCTCAGCCACTCATTTAAGTGGTACGTTACCTGTGTTATGTCTGTCTCTTTTATCCAGGTCATAGTATAGCTAGTGGTAGTTACATTTAACAGGGTTTGAGCATACCCCAGAATTTATAGTCACATGGGTAACTCAGGTAACAAAAAAGTCACCATATGCGAGGCACCATGAAATGTGTCACAGCAGATGTTGATAGGACATCATGGCAAGTGTATTGGTTTGTGGAACCACCCTGTTCTAACTATATAATCCAATCCCATGGGGCAATACAATCTGGGTCATGTGTTAATCATCCAAGTTATATGGCTGACTGTGCAAATTATTGTCAAATCTCTGTGGTATAGATGTTAAAATGACATAATATTTAAAGGAGAACTACGAGATGAGTGATTTCCACTCACCTCATAGTTCTAAGCCGACCTGTGACAATGAGACTGTCATAGGTCGGCTCAGTAGATCGGGAGGTGAGCGAACACATACCGGGTTCCCTCACCTCTCGATCCTGTCACGGCTCTCTGCCGTGACAGGGGGAGGGGCTGGATTCCCCTCTCCCCGCTCCGATCTGCCAGCGCTGACTGGCGGAATGGACGGGGGAGGGGGCGGGTACAGCTGGCTCTGCCTCTAGATAGGCAGAGCCAGCTGTCACTCACGCAGCTGAGCGGATCCCGTCATCTACGTCGGGATCCGCTCCAGGTGCGGCGTCTCAGTATACCGCGAGCTGTAGCTCGCGGTATACTGAGCTTAGGGTAACTGGAGGACGCTAGTTTGTGTCCTCCCGTTACCCTAAGAAGAACTATGGGGAAAAACACTGACCCCATAGTTCTCCTTTAAGTTTCACAGTAGTTCACACCTCCCATCATATTGTAGGACAATCAGTCTGTCTTGAAATATTCCATAGTGATTGCATTAAAGTGACTGTAAGACAGTAGAGTTAACTGTGTGGCTATGAATACTGGGGTATGCTTTGGGCACGTACTACAACTTAGGAAGCCGTTTACATAAACAGCTAAACGTCTTCAAGATTACACAACAAATCCAGCTGAACATAACTAACTACTACTAGATTTACAGTGTTATAATATAGACTTGAATGACAGCTGTAATTTTAGTACCTTTATCATTAAAATGCAGGTCCCCCTCGCCCATCAAGTCCTCTACTTACCTGTCCATGATCTACGAAGTTCCCTGCTGTGGGGCCGCTGGGCACAGCACAGCCTCTTTACAGAAAGCTCCCAGCTGGTTCACACAAGCGCAGTAGATTTTTCCTGCATTACTATGGGAAGCCTGTTACCTGTTTAGCTATTCTTTGAAACATTTACTTTTAAAGGCCAATTCACCAAAGTATGATATGAGCTTTCACATATTTGTTTCTGCATGTTGTTACATAAAATGTTTTTTTAATTATTATTATATTTTAGTTGTGCTTCACTAACACTTTGATGACATCACCACCAAATTTGTTTCGTGCATAGAGCACCAATGTGCAAAAGTATGCACTTGCGAATTAGCATGAGCTAAGAGCACATATGTCATACAAATTTTGCAGCTGATTCATCAGTGAGTTTTAGGTGAGAGGAACTCCAGGAATTGTAAAAACAAACCCTTGCAGTGAGGTTACTATCGCACTGCTCGATTTGGTCTAGGGGCTAAAATAAAGAAGATGTACTTGTGACGGACCCCCGTACTCAGGATGAGTATGTCCGCCGCTGTCTTCTTCCTTGCTGAGGAGATATTGGAACCCGCTGATCTGTAGCTCCCAGTTTCCCCAGTCACTAGCCAAGGCTTGAGTGTAGGTGAAACAAACTCTGCTTTATTGAACAACTGCACAAACTTTTATACAGAAAGTGATCAGATCAGAATATAATCCCATCACATCCCCCGTCCCCTCCCTGGACATTCTGTCTTCATAACACCACAGGTGTCCACCTCCTAACGAACTCCAGACAGCCATAGCAGGAGCCTGGCCAGAATGTCATTGTTCTGAGCTCCCTCAGAGAACAATGGGAGATAACGAGGGATGGTGCTGATAGTCTTTCCCTAACCAGGTCACACAGCATAACGCACTCAAAACATAACTCAATACCAATACACATTTAACTTATAAACTCATCACCATGTCGTCACAGTACTCACCTGATCCTCAGTCTGGAGCCTATTCTCCCTCCCAGGCATCGGCAGTCCAAGGACCCATGACGTCTTCACATCTAATACAACTGTGGAGTGGAAGGGAGGGAGTTGAGCGCTGGCTGCCGCTGGACCGAGGATCGGGTGAGTATATCTTCTTTATTCCAGTCCCTAGACCAAAACGAGCAGATAGCCCTTGCAATGCAGGCGTAGCCCCACTGCATGGTTAGATTTTACAATTCTTGGAGTTCCTATTTAAGTGGTTTATTCAAGTGCAAAGGTGAGAGACCAGTCTGCTTTGTCCTGGGTGTTAAAACTTGCAGCAAAACTGAAAAAGATGGTCTATGCAGCATGGACATTTGTTATATGTTAAATACAATGTATAAATACGTTCACTTTACAAGTTATTATTATTTATTTTATTAGTTTTTTGGTCATCAGTGTTCCATATTCTATTCTATTGTATAGCAGGTTTATTTATTGTGTAATGAAGGAAATGTAAAAAAAGCAACTACAACAACATAACAATGATCGCAGAATCCACAGAATACAGGCAAGATTTTAATTAGGGATGCTCCGATACCGATACAAGCATCGCTATCGGCGGTGATACCGAGTATTTGCATGAGTACTCGTACTCGTGCAAATACTCCGATACAAAAAACAAGTACCTGTGCCTCGTCCGCCATCTTCAACGACCCGAAACCGCCGCACACAGGACCTCCATAGCGTCTTCAATGAAACAAGATGGCCTCGAACTCCTCCTCCAAGTCCTCAGTCATCTGCTCCATTCTGACCTCTTCTCCCGCTGATTGGCCGATTGGATGATTGACAGGCTTCCTCACCAGTCGGGAGTGACTGGTGAGGAAGCCTGTCATCATCCAATCGGCCAATCAGCAGGAGAAGAGGTCAGAATGGAGCAGAAGACTAGGCTGTGACACAGAGTGGCCGAAGCAGACGGAGAAGACGACAGGTTAGTACTGCAGCACCGCATGGGGCTGGGCAGAAAAATGCTGTTTAACGGCATATATTATTTTTTTAAAGACATTAAATAAAGAAATAACTATGTAGATATTGGTAACTAAGGCTTGTATCCCCCTAGTGGGGAAAATAGATGGTCACATGTCCAGACACATGTCCAGACTCTAGACCAGAACACTGTATAGTGTGGCACAGCTATATCCAATTCTGCATACCTGGCTTTATTTAAAAAACCTTTTTTAATAATAATATAAAGCCAGTTATACAGAATTGGATATAGCTGTGCCACACTATACACTGTGTTCTGGAGTCTGGACATGTGCTCTGGACATGAGGACATGTCCAGACTCCAGAACACTGTATTATTGTATAGTGTGGCACAGCTATATTCGATTGTGCCTACCTGGCTTTATATTATAAAGTTCTTATAATATAAAGCCAGGTAGGCACAATTAGATATAGCTGTGCCACACTATACAGCCTTAGTTAGCGATGGCATGATAAATGTTCATTTCATGTTCATTTCATGTTCTTCATAATATGAAGAAACTGACCTAAAATCATGATTTTGTATTGCTTTAGAAAAAATGTGACCTGTCCCTTTAAGAAAAAGTATCGGTAATTGGTATCGGTGAGTACTTGAAAAAAAGTATCGGTACTCGTACTCGGTCTTAAAAAAGTGGTATCGGAGCATCCCTAATTTGAATCAATTTATATTAGGGTAGAGTAAAACATCCAATGCACAATGGGAGTTCAGGCACTTTCAGGCTACAATTAAAAAGGAATTGATATCATAATTGGGGGGGTGTCTAAAGCTCGGAATGCATTGGCCGTGTAGAAGCAGCACACCAATGAGCTTGTCCCTCTACTCCCTCTCCTAGTCCGAGTTCTAGTTGCATTCAAAAATACATATAACTTTTAATTCTTTTATGAGTATATTACTACCTACATTGGTGTGTTTTCGTATCTGTCTGGAGTTCAGCTTTAACTCTGTTTGTTAACAAAGTTCACATATGTGTACAGGCAATTCCCGGGTTACGAACAAGATAGGGACTGTAGGTTTGTTCTTAAGTTGAATTTGTAAGTTGGAACCAGTCATTTTTTTAAGTGTAACTCCAGCCAAATTCTTTTTGTTTTCGTTTTCGTTTTGGATAGCATAGGGAAGGGTTTACCCTCTGTAACGTTTGTTTTGCTGTATGTGCCCCTGTTCAGAAGATTACACCTCACTTTCTGTCCATGTGACAATTGGATTTTGAAAATTGTGGGTTGTCGTGGAAACAAGGAGTGAATTTCCCTTCCATGGGGTAGATTTCCTTTCACTTCCTGTTGTCTTAAGGACAGGAAGTGAGATTAAATCTTTCTAATGAGGATACAGACAGCGGTAAAAACCTCACAGTGACCCGGAAGAAGAGGCGGGCACCCCTTGTCTGCATGTCTAACAAAAGCCAACTTCCTGTAATGTACTACAGTACTACGAACCAGACCCTAAAAGGCAGGCACTCCTCGTCGGCACGAGCACGGTAGCATTACAACTATCCCTGCTGTACACTAATAGCCTCTGTTTGTAAGTAGGAGTCGTATGTAAGTCGGATGTATGTAACTCGGGGACTGCCTGTATTTCAAATGTGTATTTAAATGTTTGCTTTGAGTTCAGATTTAATAAACTGCAGACTTTATTAGGCATACAGAAAGAAAACGAAAAATGACATTCAGCCATGCACTTACCATTACTATTACAATTTTATAGAAAATACAAAACTGATACTAGATAACAGACACTTACGGAAAACCAATGTACAGTGGCAGATTCATCAGGCTTCAACACTTTACATGGGAGAACCACTTTTTCACCCAGCATGACTTTCTTTTCTTCTTTGTTCACATGATGTTCATGTTGCCCCCATACCCCTACAAGAAAAATGCAGGCAAAATTAACTAACTGGAGGTTAAGATGGGCAAAAATGAAATGCTAGGCATAGAGAGGTAGACGTCTCATAGGGTAGTTAAGACATCTGTCTGTCCTCAAACCTACTGTAGAAGCATTGGTAGAGTTGTAGCAAACTTCATAATGGCTTGTGGTAACAGTGAATGAATGAATCAATACTTTAATATTTTTTTTGATTAGAAATACAACATATAAAACTGAACATGTTTGTAATATATATTTAGAGGGTTATTCACAAAAGGGTGAAGGGTTTGGAGAAGGCAGGAAAAGTGAACAATCTAGAACAGTGGTCTCAAACCTCAGGGCCCTCCAGCTGTGGTGAAACTACAAATCCCATGATGCATCTCTCTTCAGGAGTCATGTCTGTGGCTGTGAGAATCTCGCAATGCCTCATGGGATTTGTAGTTCCACCACAGCTGGAGGGTCGGAGGTTTGAGACCCTTGATCTAGAACAACATAGCTGATTAGGAGAAATGATCCAATTCAGCTCACTTTCCAGTTCAGCTATGTAGTCCTAGATTGTTCACTTCTCCTGCCTTCTCCAAACTCTTCACCCTTCTGTGATTAACCCTGTTAGTGCTTACATCATCTTTGTTGGCTAATAGAGTTATTATTAATATTATACAAGAATTATATAGCGCCAACAGTTTGTGCAGCACTTTACAATATAAGGAGGACATTACAGTTGCAATACAAGTCAAGACAAGATGGTAAGGAGGGCCTTCCTGCATTCAAATCTCCATACTGCCCATTTCTTCTAGACAGTCTTCATCCAAGTCCAGCTCATAGTGACATCATTTCTATGACCCTCCATACTACTAATATAAAACAGATCTAACCCTGGCTGGATGTCCTGCACCAGCAATGACTGTCTAAGCACAGTTAGTGAGCTATTTATACACAAGCGTATCAAGTAGCATGTATTTCAAAATCCTTTTTACTTTTATTAGTGGGGGACAAATTATTATGGAATTTAGGAGCCAGTCCTTCTCTTTCAGGAACCAGCAGGTTTTTTTAGGAACCAGCTCCATTGACAGGTAGAGAAAAACTCAAAATTTAGGAGCCAGCTGTAATTTTTACGAAACATTGGCTACCTGGCTTCTAGGATTTGTCCAGCCCTGCATTAGTGTTATATGTGAAGATTGTTAAACTGTCCCCATAACTGTACATCATTAAAAAACTATTTCAATGTATTTGTAATTGTCTTTTTAAAGTGTATGAAGGACTGGTAAGCTGAAATATATTAAATTTTTTTGAACCATCTGATGTGATAGTGAGGTCAGTGATGCATGCTCTCTCTCTTTTACTGCTGAGTATAAATTTCAGCATGCAATATTCAGCTGTATAAACAATAGGCTTTTTACAACAGTCTCTACAACAAAGGAGATACTGGAAAAAATGTGAAAAGGAGTCTAAACCACTAATTTGAAATACAACTATATGCCTCTGCATGACAGACTAAACAAGAACAGAATCCAATTATTATGTGATGTCCAAGCCTCATAAACTAAAACAAAAGTCCTTCTCTTTCCCTGACTTTAGCCACGTTCTCCTTCGTGTCTCACACACTCCCCCTCCCAGACACTGCAGTTCACACTAGGAGGGTTTCAGCAAAAGAAGCAATGCTGTCAATCCAGAAAGCAGTGGGCTGGACTGGATATGGCCATGTGCTGATTGACAAGCAACAGACTTGTAAATCAGTAGTTACAATACTGAAAGCCACAACCCCTGCAACTTCTCCTCATCCCACTGTAATGTAAGCTTGCATGAGAGTGTCAACTCTGCTCTGAATTAAGTAGTAGTGCAGAATCACAGGACGTTGCATTAGGTGGGCTTCCCTGGTATAATCAACAGGTATGTGTTGGACATTGCAGGGGGACTAAGAAAACTGTAGGTGCAGATATATCTATAATTTATATTTTTTAATGGGAGGCCATAGTTCTTCTTAAAAGGAGAACTATGGGGTCAGGGCTTTTCTCCATAGTTCTCCTAAGGGTAACGGGAGGACCCAAACTAGCTTCCTCCCGTCACCCTAAGCCCATATACCGCGAGTTGAGACACAGCAGCCGGGACGGATCCCGACATTACTATCGAGATCCACCCAGCTGCGGGATTGACAGCCGGCTCTGCCCGCCACCTACCCCGTCTGTTCCGCCAGTCAGAGCTGGAGGATCGGACAGGGGAGGGGGGAAATCCCTGCAGGGAGACGTGAGTGACAGTCACGGCTCTCTGCAGGGATAGATCGAGAAGTGAGCGAGCGACGCTATGGGGTCTATTCACGAAGCTGCCGAGGGCAGCCGAGTGAATGACCGATCTGAAGTGAAGTGAGCCGAACACTGTTCGGCTATTCACTTCAGGCTGGTACGGCTAATTTCAGCCGTACATCGGCTGAAATCAGCCGTACATCGGCTTGCTTCGTGTGGCTTCGGGTCGGCCGAACATGCTCAGCATGTTCGG